TTGATTTCTTAATTTTGGGTTGGAAAAGTGGGGATCGTCTTGTACATGGGGGCGTCTTATTGATGGAAAAATACAGTAAATCTTGTCTAACTAAATTCTATACTTTTTAAAGGGTAAGATCCCAGCATGGAGAACAGAAATAGAAACAGCACACAATTGTACCTTCCGAGTGGTTTTCAAGAGTAGCTGCATGTAGAGAATGTTACAGTAATTCAGCCGAGAGGTGACTAAGGCACAAGTGATGGTGAGCAGGGCCTCCCAGTCCAGGAAAGGGCACAATTGGTGCACAAAATGAACCTGTGCAAAGACACCCCCAGCCACAGATGCCCAACTGCTCCTGAAGTAGGAGCTACAAGTCCATGAGGATCTCCCAAATTGCGTACCAACTCTGGGGGAGTGCTACTCCATTAAGAGTCAAGAATGACAATTCACCAGACCCTGGAAGACCAAAACCTCAAAGCCACCGTCTTGCCAGAGCTGAGTCTAAGCCGGTTCCTCCCCATACAGGCCCTCCCAGAACATCCCACTGGCCTCATGAGAAACTTGTATATAGATCAGGAAGCCACAGTACAGACAGAACATGGTAAAACAGATTGGCTCCAGGTTGGCAAGGAGTGAGATACAGCCTCTCCCATATTTATTCAAGAGAAGCTGGATTTGAGGAAGATGAGCGTGGTTTTAAAACTGGAGGAATAAACATCAATAACCTGCGCTATACTGATGACAGTACCCTGATAGCCAAAAATGGAAAGGATTTGAAAGCTCTATTATAAAAGTTAAAGAGCAAAGGGAAAAAGTGAGACTAAAATTAAATATAAAGAGGACCAATCTAATGACAACAGGTAGAACAACCAGCCTTAGAACTGGCAGAGAAGATATGGAAGTGGTGGATAGTTTCTACTTTTTAGAATCAACCATCAACAGTAAAGGAACAAGCAGTCAAGAAATACACTGTAGACTAGCACTTGGTAGAGCAGCCATGAAGGCCTGGGAAAAGATATTCAAATGCTGTAAGGTCTTTACACCTACAAAGATCAGAATCATGCAAGCCATGATGTTCCCTGTGACACTTTATAGAAGCAAAAACTGGACTTTGAAGAAGCAGGATAGGAAGAGTATTGACACTTTTGAACTATGGTGTTGGAGAAGACTCCTGAGAATACCATGATAGCCAAGAAAACAAACAAGTGGATTATCATACAAATAAACCCAGAGTTCTCACTCAAAGCACAAATGACCAAGCTCAAATTGTCCTACTTTGGACACATTATGCAAAGACCTAGTTCTCTGGAAAAGGCTCTAATGCTGGGAAAGATGGAAGGAAAGAGAAGAGGACAACCAGCAGCAAGATGGATAGACACAGTTACAGTGGCAATGAGTGCACCATTGGAAGATCTGAAAGACCATGTTAGGGACAGATTGTCATCGAGAAAATCTATATAGTTACTAGGAGTCAAAAACAACTTGATAGTACATAATCAGTTGAAGCTTTCTTTACTTGGAGCAACAATATTGCTAATAATTTTCTGAAATTGAAGATTTATTCCTTGAATGTGTACAGCTGGAATGGGCAGACTTCTTGCCTGAAACTTCCTGAGGCAGAGTGAATTCTTCCCCTGAGTAACATGCACAAAGTCAATATATGAACATACATAAAGAAGGGAATAAGATTGCATCCAAAATTAAATAATATCTGTTTTGCATACTACATTCACATTTTAGTTTATTTAAAATACAGTAGAGTCTTGCTTATCTGACATAAACGGGCCGGCAGAACGTTGGATAAACAAAAATGTCGGATAACACACAGTAACAATTGAGTGCGGTAAAAAAAACAACCCCCCCCCCCCATCTGCTGCGCCTGTTGCAATCGACTTTTGTGTTGTGGCGCCACCGTCAGAAGCAACAAGAAAGTACACTCATGCTCGCAAACAAGCGGCACACTTTTCTTGTCGCCAATTTATGCGTGTTGTTTTTTTTAGGGTTGTCGGATAAGACGGAATGTCGGATAAGCGAAGGTCGGTTAAACAAGACTCTACTGTACTTATTCTTAAATATATGTTAGCATTTAGGGTAATGTTTTAAACTATACCTTGTCCATTCAAAATCTTTAATGTCATTAATCTCTTGATCTATCAGTATAGATAATATATCTCTGTTATGGATGTACAAAGAAGCCAAAGCTTCTAATGTGCTTTGTTTGTGATAGGAAAGAACATCTGATGCTATCTCTGTAAGTTGCTCTAGAAGGTTGATCAGATCATCCCGGTCTTCTATCATCTCCTTTTTTGAATTAGAACTTGATAGGGCTGCTTCACATTTCTGAGTAAACTTTATGTGACTCTAAAAGTGAAAACACTATATTAGTAATGATAATAACATTTTAAATTATTTACTATACAATGTAATTCTTGAGACAGGAGTATATTCAAACATCCTTCAAAGAATCCCCATCAGACTAAGCCAAGTCACATTAAGATGAATTTCCCTTATTCCCCAAACCAGACTTGTGTAAGGGGAAAGAAATCAAATTTAAGCCAAAGAACAGAAGAAAGAAACAGAAAAATATTACAGATGTGGTACAACATAGGATAAGAAGAAACAAGTTGAATCCTAACAAGACAGAGGGACTGTCTGTCCCCAAAGCATCTGGTTCTTTGTCAGCTCCTATGCTTATTCTGGACAGGACTGTACTTCTCCTGAAACAGCAGGTCCACAACTTGGAGTTGTGGCTGGTGCACCAGTTGCAACCCTGTTTAAAATGGGAGGCCCTAGCAGCAGTAATTCATATCCTCATCATCTTGAATTTGGACTATGCAATACACTTTACATGGGCTGCCTATGTAGACTACTCAGGAACTTCAATTGGTGCAAACTGCAGTGGCTCACATCTATGTGGGTGACAGCCGCTACAACCATGCAATACCAGTTCAGTTGGGGCTGCACTGGCTACCAATAGGTTTCTGAGTACAAAGTGCTGGTTATAACTTATAAAGCCTCTCACGGCTTGGTTCTGAAGCATCTCCAGGACCACTTTCCTCAAACTGAATCTGCCTACATTGAAGATATGACAGTCTAAGGGATGCTTTAGTTCTCTGCTGTCTGAAAAGTTAGGGAGGAAGAGGCAGTTCTTTTCAATAGCAGCCCTCATTCTATGAAATATTCTTTACCCTGAAGTACTGATGACCCCCACCCTGCTGTCCTTTAGGAAAGAGGTAAAAACAGTACTGTTGTACAATTGGGTATTGATTTTCATCACCTTTATGAGAAAAGATTCATAGGTATTAGCTGTTTTTATTAAGGAATTGTGTTTTTATTGTTTTAGGTAATTATTGAAGGATTTTGTTTGTGATTTTACAGCTCTTATTTTGCAATTATATTTGATGGGTTACAGTATTTTGCAATGTCATGGGAGTGTTCTGGAATTTGGTGTCATACAAAAATTGTAATAAAATAAATACATCTAATATTTGCTGCAAATCTTTTGGAATCTTAGCCAACAAGATGGCATCAATTTCATATCCAGGTAGATTCATCTCCATAACCATCACAGTTCCAGTGTCACCATAAACTTTTCTTATATATTTATCCATAAACATTAAAGAATTAAGGGGACATCACATATCTGTTTTTCTCCCTGCTCAATATTGAACCATTTGCTAAGCTTTTCATTTATTCTCATGTGTATTTGACTTCCATCATCATCACCTCCTGTTGTATTTAGCAACCTATATTTGTGTGGGGGGGGTTGTTTTTGTTTTTTGTGCCTTCACGTCAGTGTTGACTCCTGGTGACTGCCTGGACAAGCCCTTGCAGTTGTATTTGTTGCATCATGTACTTTCTCTAAATCAACAAATATGGATAATCTTTCTCACATTCATACATTTCTCAATAACCTGCTAAAGAGCAAAAATCTGCTCTGCACACTCTGTACCCAACATAAAACCACACTGCCCTTCTGAAATATTGTGCACTGTCACCTTTCCAAGCACACTTAACAAACTAATCTGTTAGCAATTTTTGCATTCATTCTTGCTATTTCTCCCTTTGTATAGAGGAATAATATCAGCATTCTTCCAACTGTTAGGCACAGATGCAGTTTTCACACACGTGTCAAACAAGTCATACAGCCACTCCCTAAGCAGTCCACATGCATATTTTATTATCTCTCCAGTTACAACATCTACACTTACAGCCTTAGTTTTCAAAATATTCTCACAGACTTTATAACTTCCTTTTCTTCCAATGTTTCATGGACATTGTTATGGTTTTCTCTAACTCCAAGCTGAGGCCCATAGTCCATCAAGTTGTCAGCCTCACAAGCCACAGACAATCAATTATTTGAGGCTGACCAGGCAGACAATCAGCAAGAGCAGGTGATGGTGG